GCTTCCTTGCTACAAGGACAAAACTGAGCAATTGTGACAGAGATCGCATAGTCTCCAGAGCCAAAAATACTTGCCATCTGGCTCTTTATAGAAAATAGGTTGGGTGCTGTGGCTCATACCTCTAATCCCAGCACTTTAGGAGGCCCAAGCAGGAGGATCGCTTGAGCTCAGGAGTTTTGAGATCAGCTTGGGCAGCATAGTGAAACATTTACTCTCCAAAACCAAAATTTAATAAATAGCTGAGCATCGTGGTACATACCTGTCGTCTCAGCTGCTCAGGAGGCTGATACAGGAGAATCACTTGAGCTTAGGAGTGTGAGGCTGCAGTGAGCTATGAATGCACCACCGCACTCCAGCCTGGACTACAGAGCAAGACTTTGTCTCTTTAAAAAGGAAGGAAAAAACATGTTTGCCAGCACCTGCCACTCTCTTGTGCAAAGAAGTTATCACATTTACTTGCTCATCTAGACCAGTGGTTCACAGTCAGGCTGAGTTTGCGACATGGGGACATTTAGCAATGTCCAGAGATGTTTTTGTTTGTCACGAGTGGGTAGCGGCCATCTGGTGGGTAGAGGCCACAGATGCCACTCACCATGTGACAATGCACAGGACAGCCCCACAACCAAGAACTGTCGAGCCCAAGACGTCAGTAGAACCAAGGTAGAGAGCCTGCTGTAGGCCTGTCACCCGGCTCCTGTTCTCCGCGGAGGCCCAGACCAGGTGCTTTCCAAGCTTTTTTACCCTGTAACTCCTGGGTAGAATCAGAGGACAGTAGAGGTTCCTGTCGTTGTCACTGGGGGCACCTGTCTTAGGAAGGGCTTGACCTGTGCAAGCATTTGAGAGAAGGCTGCTGCTGTTTCCTACTTGACCATCATCTATCGGTCATTTGGTGGCTGCCGTCATTCCCATATCGTTACTGTTATCACTTATCTTGGAAGGGCCTACATTAGGGACCCGCAGGATGTAGGTGCAGGGCTGTGTGGTTGGCAAGAGTCTGTTCCAGGCTTTTCCCCCTGTTCTACTGGCTCTCTCGCTGGAGACGGGACAATGACAGCCTCTCTGAGTTTATACTTCTCATAGTGAAATGGGTCTCAAAGCAATGCCATCTGCTTCCCAAGGCTATAAGGATTTAGTGTGACAGTGAGGGCAGAGCACTCAGCACAGGGCCTGGCACACAGCAAAGCCTCAGCCCTTGTTCTTGCTGCTCATTGATGACAGCAGTGACAACGATGGTGACTGAGTTGTGTGGCTCAGCATTTGGACCCCAAGTTTTATCTTCAGCTGGCAAGTGGGGAGCCAGGATTTGAATTTGGCTCTGTCTGACCAGGATGCAAGAAAAGGGGCCTAGGAGTTCAAGACCAGTCTTGGCAACATCGCGAGACCCTTATCTCTAGAAAATAAAAATTGATTTTAAATCAGCCAGCATGGTGATGTGCACCTGTAGTCTTGGGAGGCTGAGGTGGGAAGATGGATTGAGGCTTGGGGGTCGAGACTGCAGTTAGCCATGATCATATCACTGTACTTGATCCTAGGTGAAAGGGTGAGAAAACCTGTCTCAGAAAAAAAAAGAAATGGGGCCTAAAAGAAAGCCAGGTGGCTGAGCATGCAAGAACTGGGCCTCTGTAGATGATTAGGTGAATATGCTGCACGTGAGGCTTAAAAAGATGGGTCCTCTAATGGGAATGACTGAGCACATGTGTGCCCCACAGAGTGCTGGGTTCCAGAAACCCAGGTTGGAAGTGCCAATGAAGGCACCAGTGGTGGGATCCAGTGCTCAGGCAAAGCGAGCCCCAGGAGTGGTGCTCCTAGCCACCGGGAAAGTCCCAGAAGTGAGCCCTGAGCAGCAGCTGTCTGAGAGCTTACTTGGCTCCTGTGGTTGGCCGGGGTGTGGTGTCAGCTCAGCAGCCAAGCAGAAAGGAGACTGGATGGGAGGAGGTTACCAAAAGCCTGAACCCAGTATCCTGGCTCTGCCTCTGATCATCAGGATGACCCTGGGCAAACCGTTCTCCAAGCTTTCCCCTCTTCATTTGTGGGATCATCATCCTCCTGGGGTTATGATGGTCTCAGAGGCCGAGCCTCTGTAAACTGAGATGTGATTCAATGTCACTATGACTGGTTTGTAGGAAAATACAACAAGTGGGACAAAGTAGACCCCGCAGAGCTGTTCAGCCAAGCTCCCACGGAAAAGAAAGAAGCTAACCCCAAGCTGAACATGGTGAAGTTCCTGCAGGTGTGTTGGGCTGGCCTGGGCATGAGCACACCAGGGCCCCCACCCCCTCCACAACTGGCAGTTTCGGATGTCTTTGCCCACCTTTGGTTGAGTCCTAATCCCCCTTGGACAGGGGGGCCTTTGCTAGCTCTTTCTGTGAGTTCCCCCTGCTTGCCCAGGAGGCACCTTCAGGCACCTCCAACACAGAAAAGGCAGTTGCCAATGCCAGCCCTCAGTCCTGGAGAGCAGCTCTTCTGCTTTGAAAATAGCTTCTTTTAAGGCCGGGCGCGGTGGCTCAAGCCTGTAATCCCAGCACCTTGGGAGGCCGAGGCCGGTGGATCATGAGGTCAAGAGATCGAGACCATCCTGGTCAACATGGTGAAACCCCGTCTCTACTAAAAATACAAAAAATTAGCTGGGCATGGTGGCGTGTGCCTGTAATCCCAGCTACTCAGGAGGCTGAGGCAGGAGAATTGCCTGAACCCAGGAGGCGGAGGTTGCGGTAAGCCGAGATCGCGCCATTGCACTCCAGCCTGGGCAACAAGAGCGAAACTCCATCTCAAAAAAAAAGAGAAAATAGCTTCTTTTGGCCAGGTGTGGTGGCTCACACCTGTAATCCCAGCACTGTAGGAATTGGGTGGATCATGAGGTCAGGAGTTCAAGACCATCCTGGCCAACATGGTGCAAACCCATCTCTACTAAAAGTACAAAAATTAGCCGAGTATGGTGGCACATGCCTGTAATCTCAGCTACTTGGGAGGCTGAGGCAGGAGAATCATTTGAACTGGGAGGCGGAGGTTGCAGTGAGCCAACACCATGCCATTGCATTCCAGCCTGGACAACACAGCAAGACTCCATCTCAAAAAAAAAAAAATATATAGCTTGTTTGGTTGGGGATTTTTTTTTCCCCTTAATTTTCAAACAAATGCATACAGATGTGGAAAATTAGAAAGCACAGATAAGTAGTAAGACAAAAAAATTATTTATAATCATACTACCCAAGACAACTGCTGTTATCAGTTAGGATTATTTCATTTTAACCCTTTTTCTGGGCAGTTTTGGGGTTTAAGGTCATGTTGCATTTATATCTCTATATATATATTTTTTGGTTGGGTGGGGATCCAAAAACAGCGGTTATAAACTTAATTGTTCTCTGTTAGCTGAGCCAGCCTCACCACAGCCAGCTCCTTGTCCGCCCCGGTACCAGTTCTCCTAGCTGAGGTTCAGGGCCTGGGCCCAAGCCCTGTGCTGGATGGGAGCACTGGGGGCAGGCGGCACGAGCCGGGCCTGTAGTGGGTGCGTGTGAACGTGTGCTGTGTGGCAGGTGGAGGGCAGAGGCTGCGACTATATCGTGCTGTGGCTGGACTGCGACAAGGAGGGGGAGAACATCTGCTTTGAGGTGAGTGTGAAGCTCAGTTTGGTCCTCACTTACGGTCTTTGTGACACCATCCCCAAACCGACACCAGCAGTCACATCATTCCTGGGGCCAAAGGAGGGAATACCCTGCTGGTTTAAAAACACTTCCCTGCTCCCTTTCTTTTGAAACTCCATGGATACTTTTAACTGCATAGGCTGTACTAAGGGTGGTCAAGTATTCCCCCGCTGCTGGGAATGCACTGTGTCAGTGAACATAGGAGGGGCAGAATTGTCTGGGTAGATGCAGGTTTCAGAAGGGGGCTGTCTTAGGCAGCTTGATATTCAGCATCCTGCGCCCAGCCCAAGGTCTCAGTGTTGATTCCCGACCTCGACACCGAGCTCCTTTTGCAGGCCTCACTCTGCTCATCTCCTGCCCTGCCCAGGATGCCATCCGCCTCCAGCCACCTCTGGGAGCCCTGCAGAGAAGCAGGTGGCAGCTCCCTGTGCACACCCCAGGCCCCATGCTTTCCTTGGCCATGGTGCCCTCACAGTGGTCATGACTGCTGGTCTCACTTGGTGCCCTTCAGGATGTTGTTCTCTATGGGTCGCCCCTGTGCTCCTGCACCCCCAGCTCTCACCCCAGGCTCAAGAGCTGGTTCCAGTGAGACAGGGAGCTCAGGCGCCTGGTGTTACAGTACAACACCCTCAGCAAATGCGATCACACTCTGTCCCTTCTCAGATACCCTCTCCTCCCCTACAGGGTGGCTCCTCCCTGGGGGCCTTTGCATGTAGGAATGGAGAATGGGGGCAGCTCATGGGGCTTTCTCCCTTCAGAAATGAAGCCACTTATTCCCTGTAAGGAAGCTGCGTGGCCAGGCTCCGGCGGTGACCCTAGTCCCACTGCACGGCCTTCCTAGTGAGTCTTGGCTCCAGGATCCCTGCTGTGCTGGGACCACCTGTGGCCTTCCTGCTCTTGCCTATTTCCTTTTCCCTTCATTCTTTTTTCCTTCCCTGTCTTTTCTTCAGTCTTTTAAAATTTCCACCCACCCTTCCAAGCCTTCCCTGCTTCTAGAAGGCAGGAATTGGTTCACGTGGGATGGATCCAGGGACTAAGAGGTCCCTCATGTACTTGGCAGTAGCATTTCCTCATTTCGTGGGGATGAAAGCAGAGGATTAGAAGAGAGAGGGTGGGAATGAGAAGGGAGTGTTGGAATGTGTTTTGAGATGGAAGGAAAGGAAGCCATGTGGTGGGGTGTTGTGGAGAGCCCAGGGCTTCTGGAAAGCCAAGGGGATATAGAGGGTCCGGCAGGAGCAGCAGAGGGGGCTGAGCACACGTGCTCTTCCCTAGAAGGAGCCAAGTTTCACAGTGGGGTGGGGAGCCATGGCAGGGATCTGGGAGGTAGGTTACAGCTGGCCACTCCCCACCCCCAGGTTCTTGATGCTGGTTTTCCCGTCATGGAGAAGGCTTATGGCGGCGAGAAGACCGTATTCCGGGCCAGAACCCTTTCTTCAACTAAAAGCCTTCGCAAAAGCTCTCGGTAAGACTTAATACAGTTAGGCCAGTCACTCATGTCTAATCCCAATAGCCTAGGAGTCTGAGGCAAGAGGATTGCTTGAGGACAGGAGTCCAGGGACAGTGAGCTATGATCGTATCACTACACTCCAGCCCGAGCTACATAGCAAGACCCTGTCTTGGAACTGCTCTGGCTAACAGGCTTGGGACCCCCATGGTGACCATACCTAGCACTGGCCAAGCACTGGGGATAGGCAGGGGTGGTGTAAGAGGAAGGGGCTCAGGTGCTTCTTAAGGACACAACAGCCTCAGCTTCGGGCCACCTTCCTGAGACTGGCTGCCTGGTTTCGGGGCTGGGGTGGAAAGGACGGGATGTCAGCTTGCGTATCTGCCCACCCCAACAGGTGTAGCTGTGAGCCATTAGAGCCAGGGTTACTTTGCTCCCAGACAGTGACCAGCTTCATCGGTCCTGGTTCTTCCTGGCATTGGGCTCACCCCTTTATCCTTTTTGCTGCAGGTTAACACTGACAAAGACAGATCTCTCCTTTTGGACTGGGACCGAGTAAGAGTGTTCGACCGGGAGATCGCACAGATGTCTTTAAACATGACAAAGCTGGAGAAGGAAGCCCAGGTGCGCCTGCTCCTCCCACACCTGTCACAGTTGCCTTGGGTGAGGGTGGGCCTCAGATGGCTCCCACTGGAGGAACAGCCTGTGACCGTGGGCCACATCTTTCTCCTCCTTTCTGAAACACAGCCATCTTTTTGGAAAGCGGAATGGTTACTCCGCCATATACTCCTACTAAGATATTTCTGCCCAGTGCCACAGTGTACTGCATGGCCACTCCATACTAGGTACTGTGTATACCTGTGACCTTGTCAGGCCCCTTCCACTCTCCCCTTTCCATGTGACCTACTGGGTATTACCCCCGTGTGGCAGATCTCCATTTCACTCAGAGATTCAAGCTAGCAACTGTAGAGGGACCTGTGTGCACGTTGATGAACTTGCCCAAGGTCACAGCTAGCAGGGGAGAGGCTGGAGATCCCAATTCAGTCAGCTTGCGTGCTTTCATGGGATTGTTTCTTACTCGGGGTTTCTATGAATTGAAAGGACATGCTGCTTGGTTTCTAGGAAAAGGATGAGGTGACCTGGCTGCATGGCCTAGGGACACATCTGTGGCTATTGAAGTAAACATGCTACAGGCGTGACAGCTACCAGATCCATTGAGACACAGCCTGGCCTCCTTAGCCGCCTTCTCTGGCCTTCCTTGAATGCACTTTTGCCCACCATGCCATTGTCTCAGGTATCTGAGACTTCTAAAGCTGCTCCAGGCTGTCAGCATTGATCACATTCCTGGAGAGACACCGTCGCCACCTCCAGCCCTCACTCCAGGGAGCCCAGCCTCCCTGCTGCACGTAACAACTGGTCTCCGTGTTAGCCCACATCTGTCGGTCATGAATGCAGAAGGCACTGCCCTGACCAGCCTATGTGGGGTTGGCAAGGGCAAGGGGCTGGAGTTGAGTTGTTTGGATTGTTTTCGCTATAGGCAAAACAAAGAGTTGTCTCTTTGAACAAGCATTCAGCAGAGGTAGACAGTGGTAGGACCCCAATCGAGCACAGCCCACGGATACACTGCACAACCTATATGGTGTTTAGAAAATTTCCAGAGTAGTTACCAGTACTTAAAAATTAGGAGATTTCACACTAAAATTCTGCCTTCCAGCTTCTCTTGAAAAATCAGAAGAGGTAGCAGTACCACCAGGTGCAGGCAGTAGCCCTCCCCACAGCAAGGAGCCGCACTGCCCTGGGACGGGCCCCACTTGCCCTCCCTGTAGCCTGGCTGATGCTGGCTTCTGTAGGATTTCCATCTGCAACTCTTCTGACTCCTCAATCTTCCAGGTTTTCTCTTCCCCTAGAAAATTCTCAGAAAAGAATATTCAGTCACTTGAGGCCAGGAGTTTGAGACCAGCCTGGAACACAGGGAGACCCTGTCTCCAAAAAAAAAAATTTTTAATGTAGCTGGACTTGGTGGCACATGCCTGTAATCCTAGCGCTTTGAGAGGCTGAGGTGAGACGATCACTTGAGGCCAAGAGTTTAAGACTAGCCTGGACAACATCGCAAGACACTGTCTGTGTAAGAAATTGAAAAAATAAAAAGTTGGTCAGGTATGATGGTATGTTCCTGTGGTTTCAGCTACTCAGGAGGCTGAGGCGGGAGGATCACTTGACCCAGGAGTTCAAGGCTGATGGTAGCTGAGGGTAAACTCTCATGGTACCGCTGCACTCCAGCCTGGGCGATAGAGCAGGACCCTGTATCTTAAAAAATTATTTTTTAAAGAGAATTTTCATTCTTTTATCCTTCCTGGTCCTGGTCCTGAATAAATATTCAGTCAAGTCTTTAAACTGTTGAGAAGTGAATTGGAGAAGCAGGGAGACGAAATGAGACCCGATCCTTCGTCCATATGTCTTTTTTTCTTTTCTTTTTTTTTTTTTTTTAAGAGAATTCCTAAGTCTCATTATCCACACATCTTGGTTTCCTCTATGGTAGTGTCTTCCTCCTCCCTCAAATCACTGACTGTCCTGTCTTCCAGGTGGAGGCCACAAGCAGGAAAGAAAAAGCCAAGCAGAGGCCTCTGGCCCTGAACACCGTGGAGATGTTGCGTGTGGCCAGCTCTTCTCTGGGTACGTAGGGACATTTCTCTAAATTTAGTCTCCAGAAGGCTTCCTAAGGCAGTTTCAGCCTGGAGCAGTGAGTGCCGAAGGAGGCAAGGCAGTGCCTGAGGTTTCAAGGAGATCTGAGCCTCGTGAGGATTTCACTTCTCCTTAGGTTGTAAAGGTGGTAAATTTGGCCACCCCTGAGGGGACATCCTGATGTTAGTGTTCCTGAGCAGCTATCCCTGGTGAGGGGAGAGGCCTCCACCAGATGTCACCACCTGGGAACCAGTGTGAATATTGCCTCTCAGCCTTGTCTCCTCAGTAGCGAGGAGGGCGTTGGGCTGGAAAGCTGGTGGTCTCTGGCAGCTGTCAGCCCCTAGGCATTGGTGTCCCCCTGCAGGGAACTATGGGCAGTGTCCTCTCAGAGTTGTGGCACCAGTGTCCTCAAGAGGGCAGCAATGCCGTGAGTGGTTCCTAGCTAATTGCCAGCCTTGGCTGGCCAGGAAGTAGCAGGACGAGCCCCCCTCAGTGGCCCCAGAGTGTCATGAGGACAGAAACACCCAAGGGCTCAAAATGGGGCTGTGTGCTAACTCTGCCGTGAGCCAACGAGAGGCATGGTTATGGCTCCGTGGCCAGTGCGTGGGGAGCAGTGCTCTGAAGGCCATGTCTCATCCCCATGGCCACAAGTCCCGAGTGAGCGGCATTTCCCATCAGGCCCCTCCTGGGCCAACCCTCACCGGTGCAGGATTCAGCCTCAGACAAGGCTGTGTGGCATAGGTGCCCACCTGGCCAACAGCTCTGTACTCTAACCGTGCCTGTTCAGAGCCACCCTTACCCTCCAGGAGGGGCTGGCCTCCTTGGGGGGAACCTGAGTGCACAGACGACGGCAGGCACCTGGCCCTCTGAGAGCCTCCTGTCTCTCACAGGCATGGGACCGCAGCACACCATGCAGACAACCGAGCGGCTCTACACGCAAGGCTACATCAGCTACCCACGGACAGAGACCACCCACTGCCCTGAGAACTTTGACCTGAAGGGTGCTCTGCGGCAGCAGGCCAACCACCCCTACTGGGCTGACATGGTGAGTTGAGCCAGGCTGGCTCCCACATGTGTGTGTGTGTCACCAGACCTTGGGACCAGGTCTGGTACTCGAGCCAAACCCAGGCAGGGAGCCGAGCCCAGCCACAGTCTCTGGTATGTCTTCTCTCCCTCAGGTGAAGCAGTTGTTAGCAGAAGGCATTAACCGCCCACGGAAAGGCCACGACGCCGGCCACCATCTCCCCATCACCCCCATGAGGTCTGCCACAGAAGCCGAATTAGGTACCCCTCTCACCCCATACCCACCATGCTTCCAGGGAGGGAAAGGCAAGCTGCGACAGTGAAGGTTGCAGGCCCTGCCGGCAGTGCGGGGGCTCCTTCAGCCCCTGCCTGCTCTGGCTGTGAGCAAGCCGGGAGTCACCTGGAAGAAGAGCTTCATTACTGTGGGACCAGGACAGGAATGAAGAGGTGGCAGCAGGTGCAGGTGGCTATTGCAGGGAGACAAGGGGGCAGACGCCACAGGGGACATAAATGAAACCAAGGCAGAGAGTGGCAGGTTTCAGCGGTGGGGGGCGGGGGGCGCCTCCTACCTCCCAGCTGGCCTGAGGCAGTACCAGTGGTCCAAGTGCCATGAGAAGGCAGATGAGGTGCAGGTAGAGACAGAGGCCACTTGTGGACAGTCTGAGTTTGAAGTGATGGTGTCATGTCACGAGACATGTCACGAGAAGGACAGGCCCACACCTGAAGAGCAGTCCTGCCAGAAGCAGGGGCAGGAGGTTGTGTAAGGTGGGGGAGCTGCAGCCATGAAGGAACCACTGAGGCACAGAGGCTTGTGTTCTCTTCCTCCACATTTTCTTCTTTTTTTGAGACAGAGTCTTGCTCTGTCACCCAGGCTGGAGTGCAGTGGCCAGATCTCAGCTCATTGCAACCTTTGTCTTCCAGGTTCAAGGAGTTCTCCTGCCTCAGCCTCCTGAGTAGCTGGGATTACAGGTGCCTACCATCACACCTGGCTAATTTCTTTGTATTTTTAGTAGAGACGGGATTTTACCATGTTGGCCAGGCTTGTGTCAAACTCCTGACTTCAAGTGATCCACCCGCCTTAGCCTCCCAAAGTGCTGGGATTACAGGCGTGAGCCTCCGCGTCCAGGCTTCCTACACATTTTCTTTCCTCCTTCCATCAATTTGCAGTGTGTCCTGCACAGTGGCCCTGTAAGCAGGACCTTGCTGCTGAAGCGAGAGTTTGAGCTGGCGCTCCTCACGGCCAGAGCCCTGGCCTGTTGCAGGGCTAACTAGCCCTGGCCTGTTGCAGGGGGTGACGCATGGTGGCTCTGTGAGTACATCACCAGACACTTCGTCGCCACAGTCAGCCATGACTGCAAGTACCTGCAGAGCACCATCTCCTTCAGGATCGGGCCCGAGCTCTTCACCTGCTCCGGGAAGACCGTCCTCTCACCAGGTCACACTGCGGGCCCAGCTTTCCTCCTCCCCACCTTAATGGGCAGACAAAAAAAACCATTCTACATAGTGTCTGGGGATGGGAGGCCGAGGGTCTGAGACCCAGGCCCCCCCCAGGCTGGGGACCCTGAGTGGCGGCACCTGTCTTTCCAGGCTTCACAGAAATCATGCCCTGGCAGAGCGTGCCCCTGGAGGAGAGCCTGCCCACCTGCCAGCGGGGCGACACCTTCACTGTGAGTGAGGTAAAGATGCTGGAGAAGCAGACGAGCCCACCCGACTACCTGACGGAGGCTGAGCTCATCATGCTCATGGAGAGGCACGGCATCGGTGGGTACGCCTTCCCGGGCCCTAGAGCCAGCTCTGTCTCCAGCACTCAGGCTGAGAGTCTACTCACAAAGCTGCCCAGCCACCCCTGTGTGCGCAGCCCAGCAGCCATCAACAGGCTGGTGTCTGGAAACTGATGACCCCGCCTGTGGCCAGCCAGGCAGGTCCACAGCAGGCATCCCCTCCCGAGTCCTCCACTCAGAACCTGGTCTTCCCTGTGAATGCCCAGATGTGCCTCATGCACTGTTGGGTGGGCGCACGCTGACTAATGCCCACAGGGCTGAAGATTGGCCGAGTTGTCAAATGACTCATAGAAATCATTTTGGCAGTCTCCTGAGTCCACACAGCCAGCCTGGTCTGTCCTGAAGTCACGTGACAGGGAAATGAGACGTCACAGGAGCTGCTTCCCTGGCGGAGGAACAGGGCTCCCCAGAGGGTGACCAGGAAGTTTCTAACCAACAAGGGGCAGCCCAGGGGAGTTTATCAAAGCAAAAATGTAGTCACCAGTGCACACTCCTCACAGGAGAGGTGGCCTCCCAAGTCCTCAGGCCTAGGGCTGAGTGAGGTCTCACATGTTGGGGGCCAGCCTCACTGACAGAACCTTCTCCCAGGTGGCACTCGCACTGCTGGGCACTGCCTGTTGCCTGTGGCTCCATCTCCAGCTGTACCTGGCTGATGGGCTCCAGAGGCCTCTAGGATGTCACAGCCACTGTGTCTAGGCTCTGCTCCAGCAGTGGTCATAGAGGTGGACTCTCAGGAAGTGTCCCTCCCCAGGCGAGGGTCCTGGTGACCGTGGCAACCTTGGCAGGAAAGCAGAGCTCTGGGCTTGCTCCTCCCAGAGGTCCAGGGCACCTGCCGAGGTCCTGAAATTGCAGCCCTCAGCCCACTGTGGAGTGTGGGCTGTGCTCTGCCTGCGTCCTCTGCCCTCTCCCACTGATGGGATACTGTGGCTCCTGGCAGCCCTATGGTAGCCAGTGAGCCAGACCCAATCACCAATACAAGTTTGTGACAGTGAAGAGGGCTCTGGTGTTACCTTCTGAACAGGAGAATGGTCTGAGCCTGTGACTGAGCCCCCAGGAGTGTGTAAAAGGCGCCTAACCAAAGGTCTGGGGTGAGAATGCAGTGGGCGGGGCACATGCTGCAGAGGAGCCCACACCGCACATCATGGCACCCAGCAGACTCAAGACGGTGGCAGCACACACCACCCACAGCCGGCCACACCAGGTGCCGAGCTTCGGCAGGCTCCTTAGCCCCTGGAGGCCAGTTTCTTCCCATGTGAGATTCTGTGGGAGCTCCTTTGGGAAGGTGTGTGTCACCTGCCCATGCTGGTGAGCGTGCAGGGAGCCTATGCCTCTTTTCTGCCCTTCTGACTGGCACCCACCATAGTCAGAACGCCTCAGCCTCTGCTGCGCCCCTCTGCCAGGAAGGCTCTGGGCGGGAGAGTGGAATCCTGGGGACTGGGAGCCTGCCTTGGGTACCGTGACAAGCCTTGCATTGAGGGAGGAGACGGGAGACAGGAAGTGTCTTTGCATTGAGCTTGTAAGCCCCTCCATGTTCTGGTGGAGGGGGCTTTGGCTCCAGGACCAGGTGGGTGTCACAGGATCCAGGCAGGAGAAGCCAAAGAAGTCACATTTACCAGACACAGAATAAGCACTGTGACCTTGGAGAGTTCCTTAACCTCCGAGCCTCTACCATAAAGCAGGAGTAGACCCAGTGCAGGGAGGGCTGCCCTTGTGTTCTCAAGGCAGAACGTGAAAGGCATGCAGTTGGTGCCCAGCACAGTGCAGTGGGTGCTCAGAACACAGCCCTCCCTCCTGTGGGTGGCCAGGAGCCATGAGAGCTGAGCACGAGGGGCCCTGTGGCAGGTGCTACAGCATGTGATTCAGTGGGGCGTGTCCAGGGTAGGCCAGGAACCCTGTGGCTTTGTACATCGCAGGCACAGATGCCAGCATCCCTGTTCATATCAACATCTGCCAGCACAACTATGTCACTGTGGAGAGCGGGCGCCGGCTGAAACCCACCAACCTTGGCATTGTCCTGGTGGACGGCTACTACAAGATTGGTGAGTTCGTCGGCCCTGCCCCCAGGGTTCACCGGGGATCCCTAGGTTCTCCCTGGGCATTGGCTCTGCCGCCCCCTCCAGACAGGCCCTGCCCTGCAGTGATCCCCCAGCCCCACATGCACTCCCTCAACACCACTGAAGGGGCGCTACCTCAGGACCTGCCCAGAGCAGGAGCTGCGTGTGTTTGAACGCTGAACGGACGTGTGAGGGAACCAAAAGGGGAGGCGAAAGTGCCTCAGCTCTATCCACTGGAGGTTCCCCAGAGGCCAAGGGGAGAGGGAGGAGCACAGAACCGGACCAAGGGCGGCCTGGAGCTCATCTGTGATGTGTGTCTAGCCACTGGCCACTCTGCCTGAGATTTCCGAGTGAGAAGTCAGGAAAGGTCTAGGGGCATAGGAACCAGCCTGGGTATTATCTCAGGCTGTGGACTGGTGGGCAGGGCAGTAGCCCCGCCTGGGAGGGGGTGGCAGAGCTCTGGGTGTGAGTGCTCAGGGCAGCATCTGCCCCCTGCCCACTCGCAGATGCAGAGCTGGTGCTCCCCACCATCCGCAGTGCAGTGGAGAAGCAGCTGAACCTGATCGCCCAGGGCAAGGCCGACTACCGCCAGGTCCTGGGCCACACCCTGGACGTGTTCAAGAGGAAGTTCCACTACTTTGTCGACTCCATTGCTGGTAGAGTCTGCCTCTGGCCTGCCCCTCACCAGAGGACCCTCTGTCAGCGCAGCCAATACCTAGGGACCCAGGTCCCCACATAAGACCAGCTCCCAGATCTGGGCTGCAGGTCTCTAGGTCATGGCAGTGACACCACCTGGCTGGGTTGAAAGAGCAGGTGCATTTACACCACACATGGCCAGGAGCATGCGCTCTGATGCACGGGGCTGCTGCCCTGCCGTTCTGCCACGGACAGTAGAAACCAGTTTCGGCGGGGACACTCTCACACTCAGACCCTTGACCACGTATCTTGGCGCCTTCTGCCAGAGACTATGAGAGTGGTGACTTCTGCACTCTGCTTGCCCACAGGCATGGATGAGTTAATGGAGGTGTCTTTCTCGCCCCTGGCAGCCACAGGCAAGCCCCTGTCACGCTGCGGGAAGTGCCACCGCTTCATGAAGTACATCCAGGTAGGTGCGGGGAGCACTGACTCAGGAAAGCAGCCTCACCCTCGTAGGCTTCAGCTTTATCGTTGGTCACATAGGAATTACATTCTTTGTCCTGATTGTCACAGAAGAATGAGCATAAAGCAGCCTTGCCAAAAAATACCCAGTGTCGCCATGACCCCTGAGACATAGCCATTGGGCTACACAAACACGGTGCGTTTCCTAACAGCACACCACTTGCCACTGTGGGCATTGACGTACGCACAGGGATTTCAAACTGCCTTTCAGCATGCTCGGGGCAAGGCCCGGAGACTCGGGGTCCTTGCCTGGCAATGTGTCACAGGTTCTGCATGACAGGTTACATATTGTGTATCATGAGAGGAGTTGGGGCAGGGGCCAAATAGGTGGCCTCAGTGACCCTCACAGCCCCTGCCTGGCATTACCGCAGGCCAAGCCAAGCCACCTGCACTGCTCCCACTGTGACGAGACCTACACACTCCCCCAGAATGGCACCATCAAGCTCTACAAGGAGCTCCGCTGCCCGCTGGACGACTTTGAGTTGGTCCTGTGGTCGTCGGGCTCTCGGGGCAAGAGCTACCCACTGTGCCCCTACTGCTACAACCACCCTCCCTTCCGAGACATGAAGAAAGGTGAGTGCGGCCGCTCCCTCCTGTCCACAGGCAGCTGCAGTCTCTGTTCAGTGTCAGCTCCTGCCTTACACCAGGCCGGACTCTGAGGGGACCCCTCACCTTGGCCTTTACTGCACTCACTGGCACTGAGACGAGAGACCCTGGATATAGCTGGGGCACTGCTCAGGTCTCAGCCAGGCAGTGCCACCCCCTCTCTGTCAGAATCAAGCAGGCAACCCTGGTCCACTCTCAGGACCTGGGCACAGGTGTGCAGTGCTCCCTCTGGAGCTGAGTGAGCAAGAGGACCCCCCCAGTGAGTGGGCACCCCCAGTCCGCGTCCACCACTGTCCTATATCCTCATCCTCATTACTGGAGAAGGGAGAGCTTGTGTCCAGGCAGGCAGGTCAGAGAGCACCGAGCCAGACCAGGAACCTGCAGGAGTGAGGTGTCTGCCCACATTCACCGTGGGCTCTGCAGGAAGCCCCCTAAGGCCTCAGGCTGCCGGGAGAGTGAGGCCCCATCTCCACCCTCCTGCTGCCTCCAGAGCACCTGACAGGGTGGTCCATGTGGCCCAGTGACATGAGGGTCATGTGGCGTTACCAGTAACAAGCTGTGGCAGCAAAGCAAAGTGGGGATGGAGTCAGCTGGAACTCACTGGGACGGTGCCAGCAAGGGGCCTCAAGAGTTGAGGAGGTTTCGGATAAGCAGAAAACAGAAGTAACGGCAGCCAGGAGCCAAAGCATAAGCAAGGCTGTCCCCAGGAGCGAGGCCAAGAAGAGTTTCTTCTGCTGGGACAAGGGATCCAGGAGCTTGAGGCATTGGGAGCAGGCCGCAGAGGGCAGGCAGGTGTGGCAAGCCTGCCTCACAGGGCTCCCCTCTTCCACCAGGCATGGGCTGCAATGAATGTACACACCCCTCCTGCCAGCACTCGCTGAGCATGCTGGGCATCGGCCAGTGCGTGGAATGCGAGAGTGGGGTGCTGGTGCTGGATCCCACCTCGGGCCCCAAGTGGAAGGTGGCCTGCAACAAGTGCAACGTGGTGGCGCACTGCTTCGAGAACGCCCACCGTGTGCGGGTGTCCGCCGACACCTGCAGTGTCTGTGAGGCCGCCTTGCTTGACGTGGACTTCAACAAGGCAAAGTCCCCACTCCCGGGTGACGAGACACAGCACATGGGCTGTGTCTTCTGTGACCCCATCTTCCAGGAGCTGGTGGAGCTGAAGCATGCGCCCTCCTGCCACCCCATGCACCGCGGTGGACCAGGGAGGAGGCAGGGTCGAGGGCGGGGCCGGGCCAGGAGGCCCCCGGGGAAGCCCAACCCCAGGCGGCCCAAGGACAAGATGTCAGCCCTGGCCGCTTACTTCGTATGATGGCCCTGCCCTCCCTCAGGCTGCGGTGCCGTGCAGACACCTCATGCACTTCAAACTATTAAAATGCATTTTGTCTTCTCCTGAGCTGGGAACCTTTGCTGGTGCAGCAGTGTCAGAGGATTACTGTGTCACTGGGCATCTGTGTGGCCCTCCTTCCCTCTCTGAAACTTCTCCCTTCAGCCTCCACACACATGCCCAGAGTGCTCCCTGCTCTCCCTACACTCTGGCAGTGCAAGCAGGGAGGCCCCAAGCCTGGATCCCTGGAGAACAGAGCAGTCTGCACTCACGCCCCATCTCAGTCTGTGCGGCTGATGGTAGCTCTGTGCACAAGCATCGGCCCTGATCGGCAGCCTTGACAGCCCGTGGCTCCAGCAGGAGAGGAATCTAGTGAAGCAGACGGGGCTAGGAGACGCTCTGCTTGGATCTGGCTCGTGAATCCCCTTGGTCTTTGCTGCAGCCTCCTGCTCGGGGTCACCCGCCTGACCCCACACTTCTGCCAGGTTTAGAAAATACCCTGGAGGCCAGACCACCCTGTGGTGGCAGGTGCTGGCAGCAGCCTCCCTGCATCCCCACCCCTGTCCCCATAGGGACAGGCTCTTGGTGGTACCTCACTTTGTCATCTCTAAGCCACAGACCTCAAATGGAATCAGTGCTCAGGAGTCTAATACGGTCCCCTCTGAGGAAGCCTGCAGGAATATCGGCTTTTGCACCACACTGCACCTGAGGCCTTAAACCCAGACCACTTAGACTGGCCCAGAGAGTCCCCAGCCCTGCCCCCCTAGCCAGGGGCACAGCCTTGCCAGAGAATCAGAGAAGCATCTGTGACTGGGTGGGTGATGTTGAAAGATTCCTCTCACCGGGGTGGAAGCCAAGAGCCAGGAGCTCAGGTGTGATGGAATTCGGACAGTGAGGCGGCCCTCTGACCGCAGCGCCTTCCGGTGCTCCCCTCTCCAAGGAGGGACACCTGTGCAGGGCCCACTGTTGGAAACTCCCTCTGTAGTTCGCCCGTGCCTCATTGGGTGGTGGCAGAAGCTCAGCAAAACAGCTTTCCAGGCTGTTCAGTGGAACCTTTAAGGGGTGGATCAGAAATGTTTCGGACACAGAACCCCCACTAAGTAGTAGGTTCCCAGTCCGAACCAGGACATATAGGAGAACTCGCGTAAGGAAACCCAGAGCCCGCACAGCACGCCCCACCTGGATTCCCCTCCAGGAGGCCCTCACAGGTGAAGTGGGGGTTCCCTGGAACACAGTTTGGAGAGCTACTCTAAGCTGAATGAAAATATGCAGTGATGTGGGGAGCCACACAGTGGGTCCTGGGATGTGTCTCAGAGGTACAGGGTTCAGGAAGGAGGGGGTGTCTCAAAGCTTCTGCCCCCTCCTACCCACTCTGGTCCAATTCTGAGGCCCTAGCAAGGCTACATCTGTTGGGTCGCCAGTGCAGGGCTGTGACTCTTCTCTTCCACCCACAAGGCCCAGTGAACCCAGAGCCTTCTCTGTAGGTTTTACAACCTCCAGGACCCTTAGGTTATAGGGCTAATTCAGGCTTAGAGGAGCGGAGACAGTGTCTTCGGCCTTAAACCTAGGCCACTCCTTCCTTACATGCTGCTACACTGCAGTTTCAGCTGCTGGCAGGGCTGATCACAAAGTGTTCATTTATTTTCCTCTGCGGTTGGCCCTTGTGCATGACCCTCCTTCAGGGCCCCTGGCTTCCACAGCCTGATTCTGCACTCCCAAGTCCAGTCACCTTCTCCCATCCAGTAGCATCCAACCTCGCTGCTTCTGCTGCCAGCCTGCCCTTCGGAGCAATGAGGACAAGGGAGGGACAAGGCCCATTTCAGGCCAGAACTGCCTTCAGATCAGCCACACTCCATGGGACTGTACCTCTACCCTGCAGACTGAAGAGGTCAGTGGCTGCAGGCTGGCCCAGAGAGCCCTGGCCCCACCCACCTAGCCAAGGGCACAGTGTTGCCAGAGAAGCAGAAAAGCATCTGTGGTTAGGTGGGTGATATTGAAAGATTCTTTTCACCTGGGTAAGCCAAGAGCCAGGAGCTCAGGCATGATGGAATGCGGACAGTGAGGCACTGACAGAGCCACGTGGCAGGAGTTATCTCACAGGCACGTCCTTGGCCTGGAGCCCATAGGGACAAACTCTTGGTGGCGCCTCACTTTGCCATGATCTCTAAGCCACAGACCTCGAATACAATCGGTGCTCAAGAGTCTAATACGGCTCCCTCCGAAGAGACCTGCGGGAATATCAGCTGCTGCAGCACCACACTGCACCTTACAGTGTGGGAGGGCCTGCCCCTGCACCACCTCACCTGTTCTGTGGTTGTCAGACTTCACCCCACAGCCATTCTGTTGTGGGTGAAATCAGGGGCAGTTTGAGAAACGGTGGCTCAGGCTCTCACAACAGCCCTCTAAGATAGGATGGTTACTATTGTCCCCATTTTTTACTGATCAAGAAACTGAGACTCAGGTGAGCTAAGGAATGTGCCCAAGGCCACTGATTATAAGTAGCCTCAAGCCTTGCTCGTTGTGACTGCCCTGACAGGGATCAAGGAAGGAGCAAGCAGGAGAGTGGGATGAGGCAGGACCCTCCGCCCCAGCCCTGCTTTCCCTGCCCAGACACCTCTTGCCTTGCAGACCCAACCCCACCCCAGATGGTTTCCGTCTCTAAAAACCCTGCTGCTGGTTCTCCAGGTTCCTGGTCTCACCCACTGAAACCCTCCTGTTAGAGAAACGTTGCAGAGACATTCATTCCTGGCAAGGACACAGGCCTATAGGGCTGAAGGTCAGGTGGGCAGAGCCGCAGTAAGATCTGGGCGCCCCATTCTCCATTTAAAAAAGTTGGCTGGGTGCAGTGGTTCACACCTATAATCCAACCACTTTGGGACGTCAAGGCAGGTGGATCACAAGGTCAGGAGTTCGAGACCAGTCTGGTAAATATGGTGAAGCCCTGTCTCTCTTTAAAACACAAAGAAGTTTCCATATCCTTAAAAACTTGCTTTCAGATATTAAAAAAAAAAAAAAGTTAGCCAGGCATGTTGGCATGTACCTGTAGTCCCTGCTACTCAGGAGGCTGAGGCAGAAGAGTCACTTGAACCCGGTAGGCAGAGGTTTCAGTGAGCCAAGATCACACCACTGCACTCTAGCTTGGGACACAGTGAGACACTATGTCCAAAAATATATATATATAGTTTACAACTGCATTGGTATAAAGATGAATATAATATATAATATTAAGCCATTTTCTTTGACTTAAAGGTTTCTTTCTTCTGCCTTTAAAATAAAATGTTTTGGCCAGATGTGACTATTCATACCTGTAACCCTAGCACTTTGGCAGGCTGAGGCAGGAGGATCACTTGAGCCGAAGAGTTTAAGACCAGCCTGGGATATATAGGGAGACTCTGTCTCTACAGAATTTGTCTAATCAGCTGGGCGTGCTGGTGCTTCCCTGTGGTCCCAGACACTGGGGAGGCTGAGGCAGGAGAGGAGGGTCACTTCAGCCCAGGAGTTTGAGGCTTCAGTGAGCTATGATCATGCCACTGCACTCCAGTGTGGGCACCAGAGAAGGACCTTGTCTCTAAAAAGAGAGAAAAATTTTTATGAGCCTCTGTGGTGGCAGAAAAATGGCCCTTCAGAGATGTTCATGTCCTATACCAGTGCCTGCTGTTAGATTACATGGATGCAGTGGCTCACTCCTGTAATCCCAACACTGGGAGGCCGAGGCAGGTGGACCATTTGAGGTCAGGAGTTTTAGATCAGCCTGACCATCACGGTGAAATGCCGTCTCTACTAAAAAATACCAAAAAAAAAAAAAAAAATAGCCGGGTGTCCTGGCATGTGCCTGTAGTCCCGGCTACTTGGGAGACTGAGGCAGAAGAATCACTTGAACACAGAAGGTGGAGGTTGCAAAGACCCCAGGTTATGCCACTGCATCGCAGCCTGGTCTCAAAATAAAATAAAATTACCTGGGAAAGGGGAATTGACGTTTCTGATCAACTGATTTTAAAGTAGAGAGATGATCCTGGATTGTCTGGGTGGGCCCAGTGGCATCAGATCAGTAAGGTTTTTAGAAGTAGCAGAGGAGGGAACTAGAGGTGGCAGTGTGAGAAGGGCTCAACTTATCATTGCTGGTTTTGAGGCTGGAGGAAGGGTACAAAAGGTATGTGGGCAGCCCTTAGGAGCTGGAAGAGGCAGGGGAACAGTCTCTCCCCTAGAGTCCTTAGAAAGGAACGCATTCTGCCAACTCCTGGATCTTCGCCCACTGAGACCAAGTGGCTTTCTGACCTCCAGAATGGAAAGATAACAAATCTAGCTTTAAGCCTCAAACGTTTGTGGAAACAACCCCTAATGGGCCCGGGACTGTGCCTCCTTCCCCGATGGATGAGCCTGCCTAGGCAGTCTGCATTTGCATCCCTGCTCTGCCACGTACCAGATGTTGGTGGCACAAGTTGCTTAATTTCTGGGCGCTGTGAGATAAGAGATTACTTTACCCATCCAGCCGCCCACCCAAAGCTACAAAACAGAAGCAAGAGCCCGGGGAGTGGGGCGGGTCCAGAGCCCAGATGGAGCCACTGTTCTACCACGAAGGGACCGCAGTCACGGTCCGCGCGGCCGCCAGGGGGCAGCAGAGGCCCAGCCTCCGGCTGGCTTGTAGGCCCGACTGCGCCTGTGCGGCCGCCGGGGACGGGAAGTGGGCGGGGCCGATCGGGAGCGGCTTGTGGGACGCGAAGCGTTGAGGAGCCTGCCGAGGCCCGCGGTGACGGGTGAGGAGGCCCGGGGGACGGGATTGGAGGGCTGACGGGGCTGGGGCGAGGGTCAGGCGAGCGCCCAAGGCGCACGGGGGTGAAACGGGACCGAGGAACCGGAGGGGCGGAATCAGAAGGGTGAGGAGGCCGAGACGAGGCTCACAGGGGGGCACCCAAAGGGTGCGGGGGTTGCAATGAGGGCGGCTGAGGAGCGAGAGGGGCCGCTGCGGACCTGAGGAACCCAAGGCTGGGAGTTGAGGGGCAGGGGAACCAAGGGGCACAACTAGGGGGTCGGAGGGGGTGTGGCCGAGCCGAGGGCCTGGTGGGGACCGA